TAGAATTGCATTTTGTTAACTTTTGTCTGTTTTTGTTTTATACTTTGTGAAGCACTTTGTGATCTTTTTATCTAGAAATGTGTTATATAAATAAAATTTTACTTACTCTGGTGACATCTGGTGGCCAAAAATATAACAAGCAGCTTGAATCTACAAAATAAAACGAACTGCTTCATTATGACTGCCGACTCCACAGAGTGGAGTTCACAATTCAGTCTGATATTAGGCCACCATTGTGTTGCTTTGAACATGTATTTTTGGGGGGGTTGAAAAAAGAAGTTATGTTTATTCGTTAAATGAATAGTTTTGATCAATAAACTTTCCTTGTTTAAACATGCGCCATGGTGGTATTTGCTGGTGACATCTTGATGTTGGTAAATACAAAAGATGAAAAATAATTGTAATAATGTGCAACACATTATGGAGTATGTTTGTGCTGTGAGTTCCTCTCTCCATGTACTTGTGCAATTAATCACTGGACAGCTGGACAGGTATGTTTATAAATAATATGATATTAGGCCAATTATCGTATACTTATTTATGACCTGTGGGGGAGGGGGGGGGGGGGGGGTAGAATTGATTGTGAACAGGAAAAGGAAAATGCTTATGAACTTGTAAAGCAAAAACGTGATGCCTTTAATGTAGCGTTTTTTCATTATTATTTAACAAGAGAATTTGTTTCACTGTGTGATGACCGAGTCTGTTTCTTTTTTGTCTTGCCCAAAAGAAATTCCTCTCACATGGAACAGAAGAGGCTGGAGTGCACAGAAACTGCAATGCATGTTGGTTAGATTCAGTCTTCCTGGGTCCCACAGACTATCACCTGAAGAATAAACAAATTAAATTGCAGCACATTTTGTAGAATAACATTTTAAGATTAGTTTATTAGTTTATTTTAAATTTAAAGAGTCAAATGGAAGTCTTTCTAAAGTTATTTAACGATATTTATATTATGAAAAGCAGATTTTTGTTTTGTTAACATTTGAACAGAAAACATAAGCGAAAAACAAGAACAGAAAGCTGACAAAGCCACCCGATTGACCAAAATCAATTCAAAATACTCCTACACGACAGAACCTCTCTTCCTCGCTGGCTCGATATCTCTTAATAAAACGATCAGTGGTTTGCTATCTCTCACAACCAAAACACTCCACAAATCTCGCGAATCGTATCAGTTACGAAGCTTCGGACGCCACTGATCACGTGACTCTGACCAAACGAATCAAGCGTCGAGAACCAGCGTGTTGTGGACTCACCGGAGCTTCAGCTTCAAGCGAGCCATCGCTAGTGAGCAGAAATGGACAAAAAAGGGCGTATTTTGAACGGCAAGTTCAATTTTAAAGCAATGCCAGATGGATCTCTTGACAAGACCAAAGTAGTTTGTATTTACTGTCGATGTGAACTGCGCTATCACCGTAGCACGTCCAGTCTCAAATACCATTTGCTAGCCAAGCACACAGCTGAAGCAGAGAATCTCCCTCGCCAGATGCAGACCATGCTGGATAGCTTTCAAAGGAGACGTATGGACAATTCTACAACCAACAAACTTTCAACAGCCATAGCAAAATGGGTGGCTACAGCTTGGAGGCCGATTGACATTGTGGAGGATGAGGGGCTACTTGAAATAATTCGCATAGCGTCCAACGACTGCACGTATGAATTGCCTTCGAGAGCCACCACTGTAGCCAAGATCCACAACTTATATGAAGATGAGAAAGCCAAAGTCGAGGAGACTTTGGGGCAGACCAATACGGTTGCGCTCACCGGAGACTATTGGACTTTTCGAAGTAATCACAGTTACCTTGGAATAACAGCACATTATTTTTCACCACAGTGGGAACTGAAGTCGCATGTTCTGACTGTTATGGAGACAGAGGAGCAGCACTTCGCCGACACGTGCGCCGAGCAGTTTCTGCAGGTAGCTAGACAGTGGGGGATTGAACATAAAGTCAGCACGCTGACCACTCACGGTGCATGCAACATGGTTGCAGCGGCCAGTCAGCTACCTGTAGAGCATATGCCTTGCATCGCACACAGCCTCCATCGAGCCATCACAGTTTCTCTACAGAACAGTCCATTTAACAGCGCATTGGCAAAATGCAGAAAGGTCATAGGCCATTTCAACCATAGCCCACCGAACGCACTGGAGCTCGAACAACAGCAAATTGCACATTTTCATAAAAAGGAGTCACTTACACAGGACGTATCAACAAAATGGAACAGTACCCTGGAGATGATCAAGCATGTTCTGAGAAATCAAGAACCACTGAGAGATGCACTGGCACTACATCCAACTAATGTCACAATGCCAACAACAGCTGAAGTGGAGAAACTGAAGAAGCTGGAGGCGGTCCTTGAACACTGCAGGTAATTTATTAATACTTTTACCACTTCTGACATAGAGAGTGTGTGTATAATGTATTTTGACCTTTTGTGATTGAATGTAACAAATTCTTAATGACGTATGTTTCTCTATTACTGCAGGTATATAACTGAACTTTTGGGAGGGGAGAAGTTTGTTTCCTGCTCAGTGGTGTTGCCAGCTTTGTGTCACCTGTCGCGAGTGATGGAGGTCTCTGAGTATGACCCAGCTTACATGGTTAACTTCAAGGAGACCTTTAAAGGAGAAATGGAGAAGCACAAGGAAAAAACTAACATCATGTGGCTCAGGGTTGCAACAGCACTGGATCCTAGGTTTAAGGGTCTTAAGTGTCTAAGCAGAGCTGACAGGGCTGAGGTGTGGCGCTTGATCAGTGCGTTGCTCAGGGAGAGGCAGAGGCCTGCACAGCCTGAACAACCAGCAACATATGAGCCATCTAAGAAAAGATCAGCTCTCATGTTTGCCTCAGAGTCTTCATCTGATGAAGAGGAGGACTATATTGAGAAATGTGTGGAGCGATACAGGGCAGAGCCAACTATTGACATAGAGGACTGTCCCCAGAAATGGTGGTCCAAGCATGAAGGGGCACACAGTGAGATGGCCTACCTTGCACGCATGTACTTGGCAACACCTGCCACATCCATACCATGTGAGAGGTTATTTTCACTTTCTGGGCATGTTTTTCAGAACAAGCGAGCTGCCCTGTCATCTCAAAATGTTAAGATGCATGTCTGTTTGAGCAATTGGGTTAGTGCAAAGTAATAGTGACAACCCATGTACTGTATGTTCTAGGGTTTTTTTTTTTTATTCTTTGTTTCTCCTATGTGCTGTTTCCATGTTCATGTTTTATTAGGAAAAAAGGAGGAAGAAGCTTGGGTTGCTCAGCCTCTGCTTAAAAAAAACTGGAGAGCAAAAAGAAGTATAGCCAAATTGTTTTATTCATACCTAACTGCATTCCTTGTTTTGATCCCACTCTAATGGTAAATTAAACAGTTACATTGTGTGGGAGTATATGATTCTTTTCGGCATAATTTTGAGTATTCAGTACCTTTGAGGCTTTGTTGAACAGTATTCTGGATTTCTCATTGTATTTTTCATTGTTTTGAATTGTTGCGATTAACAATAAACACATATTTGCATAAAGCAAGTATAGTAGTTTGTCCACTCCCATACTGTTTAAGGTATTAGAAACATGAAGAGTATCCTAAAGTTCCTTTAGAACAGATTAAAAAAAAAGATTAATTTGCGATTTATCATGAGTATTTAGTCACGATAATTTAAGCGACTGACACAATAGATAGAGATATATATGAGAGAGATCTGTACATTTGCCACCACACAGGTGTAGATATTGTAGGTGCTGTGAATGCTTAAATTGTACCGATGTCCATCATACATCCAACTTTTGAGTATTTACTTTCAATTTACTTCATTTACTTGCATTAATAAACACAGACATCATGTAAATAATAAAACTAAACATTGTTCTTGATCATCATTTATGTCCAGTTGAGAATGAATGTGTGCACCCGCATATTAAATCAAATGAGCTCAAATCAGTAGTTTCATCTCCAGTCTTAGCAGAGGGTAATCATATAAGGAACGAGAGAACTGACAGTTACTATTTTAATCACCTTGTCTCAGTTGTTTTAACTCTGTATCATAAAGTAATGTGCTAACATCTGGACTGATGTGTTCACTGTCAGCATTTTAATCACGAGTTAAAGGCTGTAGGTTGCAGCCTTTGCTCTAACACTGTAGAAATGTAACAGGCCTCAGTCCTGATTCTAATAGTCTGAGCTGCTTCAAGCTTTATTTGTGAAGAGCACAGCAGCTTACAAAAACATAGCTAATTTGTGCTGTTGGGAAATATAGCTTTGATTGTTGAATCCATTTACATATTTCACTTTTTTTAAATTGTTTTTATAAACGATTTTTAAGACCTGTTTTTAAAATTTGGAATTTGAAAATGTTTGTGGAAATCAGGCTTTTTTTGAAAATTAAATTTTTTTGTGAAATTCATTTTTGATCAGAAGTATATTTTGATGGATATTTTTATTTAAAAATTGTGTTTTTATTTTAAATTAAATTATTACATTATAATGTAATAATTTACTGATGTTTGGATAAATACAATGATTTTACAAATGCATAATTTTTTGTACAATTCATTATTTAAGCACAGAATTCTTTATTTCGACGCATGTGGCTCTTGTGGTCCCCCATAGAGTAGGAGTGATGCCCTGCAGAATAATCTCTGTCCGTCCAGAAAGGTGTCTGGAGTTACATTGTCATATGCATTAGCCCCTCCTCCTAGACTTTCAGAAAGATCGTGCTGAGACAGATGGCCATATCTCTACAGTTTTTAATCTGGATGTTAATAAGTTTTTGTAAGACTGCTGCTTCACATGTTCACATTAGGAATAAACAGCATTTATAAAATCATAAATAGTCTGAACAGCAGAGGGCAGCATAAAGCAAAACAGTGACGGAATGGGAGATTTCAACAATTAAAGAAAAAAAGATACAGATGAAAGTTTTTTTATTTTTCATACAGTAACCTGATACCCCAGGTACTAATTTCCTTTACCAGGTTGGCCTCTGCCCTCCAACTTCCATCGAGGTTACCTAGCGGCGGAACGTTTAAGGCGGACTAGCATTCCCACACGGACACATTTGTAACGGAGCGACGTGCCAGGCGAAATGGAAGTGTAAGACCGTTTTTGAGTTAAAATGGATTTCATTTTTATATCTGCATAATTTTAACTGATATTTTTATAACGTTTTGTTTCACCTGAGGATAAACGCTGTGGTTAAAAGTGCAGAATCTCTCTCGCTGTCTTTTAGTTTCCGGTTCAGTTATTGGGACCCGTGTGAGGGCTGTAGTCACATTTTCCAGTTAATCTGAAATAAACAATAAACAAATAAATTAAGTAAACGCAGCAGAACGTTAATGAGAACATAATAACAAGTGCATTTGTCAGCACTTTACTGATCCAGATTTTTGTGCTTTGATCGAAATTGTTTTTTATTTTTTATTTATTTATAAATTACACGTGAAAACAGATGCCAGGTTCTCTCACGCGAGGAGATGTTTTCTTTTTGTTTGATGCATTATTTACTACTACTGCTACTACTACTAATAATAATAATAATAATGATAATGCTGAGATTTTGACACTTAGCACTAAACTGGCTCGTTTGAACAAATAATCTTAGTATATTAATAGTTGCAATCCCATTGCTATGGTAGCCCATATTTTATATTGTTTACAAATGTGCTACACAAATACTCTGTGGCCACTTTATCAATTCAAATATCTAAAATCGGTAAATCAGATGGTTACAACCCAGTATATTTAGGAAACCAAGACATGCAGAAGAGCATCACGAGTTGAACTTTGAAGTAGACGAGTCACAGCAGCAGCAGCAGAAGACCACACTGGGTGCCACTCCTGTCAACTAAGAACAGAAAACTAATGCTACTGTTCATATAGAATAACCAAAATTAGACACCTGAAGACTGGAGTAATTTTGCTTGGTCTGATGAGTCTCAATTTCTGCTGTAATGTTTAGATGGTAGGGTCAGAATTTGGCATAAAAAAACATGAAAGCCTGGATCTGTTCTACCTTGTATAAACATCTTTTAAACACCACAGCCTCCACTGAGATAACCCTCAAAAACAAATGCTTACTTTTTTTTTTTTATTCTCAGGAAAAATGCTAATGCTGCAATGCTCAGCAACTATGAGGTAAGGTCATATTTTCTCACTTTCTTCTTTATTTTCTGTGGTCAGTTCAAAGAATAACTCATCAGGCCGATGACACTTTTGTTTACCTGTGTGTTCCTCAGGTGTTCAAACTCCTCACAGACCTGAAGGAGCAGAGAAAGGACAGCGGGAAGCACAAACACAGCGCCGGGCAGCAGAACCTCAACACCATCATGTATGAGGTCAGAAAACATCCTCTGCGTTTCTCGTGCCTGTCATGTTTACCCGTTTTCAAAAGCACAGCCACAGTTTGGTTTGTACTTCCACCAGACGCTGAAGTACCTATCGAAGACGCCCTGCAGCAGACAGAGCCCTGAGATTGTCAAGGAGTTTCTCACCACCATGGTGCCGCACAAACTCACAAAGTCAGTAAGATCAGGCCATCACACTAACTTCCAGCCTTGATGCTTTCAATAGAACTTTACAGTCAGCATAAGATGCACAGCTCTTTTTAGATGAGAACTGTTTTTCCTCCCAAACAGGGCAGAAAAACTACAGCTACTGAACCACCGGCCTCTGACTGCAGTGGAAATCCAGCTTGTGAGTGTTTTTAAATTAAATTGCATCTTCATATCTACAGTGTTTTTATTACATTATTATTTATTACATTGTTCTCATTTAATTAGAAATGACTCTGTACTCTCAGAGTGACTTAAAGAATAGGTGTGCTGGTATTCTGCTTTATACGTCCGAGCTGTAAAAGGATCTTGCTGGGCAGGCAGGCGGCATGGACACCTATGTTTGTGAAGGCAACAACAAGCAAAGCAAATGCACCTTCAAATTGTTTGAATAATACAAATGAACTGTGTGATGGCTCACTTAAGTAGGAACAGATGAGCCTGGCTTCCACAGACGGGACAGAAACACTGTTTTTGTTTTGTTTTGTGTTGTTTTTACATAGGACTACTAACCTAACCTCTGCTAATGGCCACTTTTTTAAGGCTTTATTATTGAAGAAAAAACAAAAATGATGTCAAACATGCAGATTTGTGGGTCATTTCAACTCAGAATCTGTCCGTGGAGCTGTAAATCACAGATGAAAATAACACCACCAAAAAAAACCCACCTTGCACGTTAAAGTTAGTAGATTGGAGTGTCCCTGCAGCAGTCTGGGCTCATTCAGACTGTGTAAAAATGTAGTTTGAGTTCTTCTTTGCCGACGCTAAATGTGCTGAAGAATCCACTGATAAAGTGACGCTGTTGAGTCTGGTGCTTTTAATCTCATATCACATGGTTTTCATCAGCTTGTAGAATTCAACAGTTTTCAGTAATATGTAGATATTTTACAGATCTCTTCCCAGTTTTATCTGAGCACTTCAGGGACTAGTTGCCCCTTTTGGACATTCAAGCATCGACACTTCCATGAAAGCTGGCAAACTGTATCTACTGATGGAAATCATGTGATATGATCAAAAGCTTCAGAACAAAGACATAAAGCAAAAACAAACTGAAAACAGAAGATGAAATCACATCAGGAGGCTTTAGTGTTGCACTGTCTGAAGTTTCTTTCTGTGTTCAGATGGTAGAAGAGAGTGAAGAGCGACTATCAGAGGAGCAGATTGAGGAGCTTATCCAGACAGTCACAGATGTCCTACCGGGAGACCCAGAGCAAGAAAACGCAGCTCCAGCAGACACAGAGATGGATGATGGTGGCAAACAGTCATGACACCATGACGGGCCAGAACTGGAGATAACTGCAGAACTGGATGGACTGTGATTATTTGCACGACTAATTGAACTGTGCATGATGGGACACATGCTGCCTGACAGCTTGATAATTCACATCAAGTTGACCTGTTACATAAGCAGAAGAAGATATACTGATTGTTTCTCTATGTGCATTCATACTACATAGCTGCGTTAAATCAAACAGGGTAGTGTGTCACAATAGGAATTATTGGACTCTGATTTCCAAAGCTGCAATGTTAGACAGTTGTGCGATTAAACTTAAGCTGGTGCAGCATAAATGTAAGATCAAACAGTATGATTAGATTGGCCTGTGTAATAACAAAGAACAATATAAGCCAGGAGGTTGTCACTCAACTCTTATTCAGTTTGCGAAGCAACTATTTTTAAAACATGCTGACACTTTTTTTCCCTTTGCATTACAAAGAGATGTAACAGCTGAAATATGCAGCGGTTGTTTGTAATTTTGTATCACACAGAAAAGTTGCAGCCACTATGTCTGCTTTCAGGTATGGCTGCAGGGCTGTAGTTGTCAGTACTGCAGGACATGTTTCACAGAGATGTGTTTCTGTAACCGTGCAGAGGTCACACGGGATATAAACTACAGGTTTGCAGCACAAACTCTTTAACCACAGGCCCTGGATCAACTCCAGTTTTTTTTTCTCAACTTTCTGTTGTAGTAGAGGAAGGATGTGCTGGTTAGAGTCATGTACATTTCTGCTTTTGGGCTTCCTGTTGACATATCACATCAGTTTCCTGTGCTTGCCAAGTACCTTGCCGAGGCGGGACGCCTAAGTGAAGTGAACACTGATTTTTTGGACAGCACATCTGAGCGCGCCAAGCCCCCCAACCCAGCCAAATCGGTCATGCTTGTAAAAGTAAACAGGAGGAACACTTTATTAATTTCTATATGACAATGACAATTATCGCTGTTACTTTCATTCTTACGATAACGAACTACCAAATCCGACAGTTTTACTGTACTATATTAATTTTGTTCTGCAGTCAAGACTGGTAAGAACACAGTAAAAGTGGAAGTAGGCAACATATCTTTGGCATCATTGGGGGAAAAGATTGACATATTATTGTAATTAAAGTTTTCCATTAGAGGACTACGCTTGTGTGAGGGAATTTTTTTTTCAGATTTAAATAGGAGAGAAGTAAAAAGGGGGAAAAGGCTACATATGAAATAGGATGTGGTGTTAAAATGAGTCACAGTGCATTTACAAAAACAGGGATGTGCTTTAGACTCAGTATTTACTTGGCAATGTGATTTTAATTCTTCACGGCATCCCTCTGAGATGCCATGTCCACATTGACATGACAGCATCACACAGTTGCTGCAGATTTTTCAGATGCACATCCATGATGAGACTCTGCTCCACCAGACCCCAAAGGTGCTCTACTGGATTGAGATCTGGTGAGTCTGGAGGCCAATTGAGTGCAGTGATCTCAGTGTTGTGTTCATGAAACCAAGTGTAATTCCAATTTCCTGTTGCTTAGTTTTAATGAGCCTCAGTTTCCTGTTCTAAGATGACAGTGAGTGGCACCCAGTGTGGTCTTCTGCTACTGTAGGCCACCTGCTTCAAGATTTGGTTGCGCTTTCAGAGATGCTCTTCTGCAAACCTTTGTTCTTATGTGTCCTCAAAGCAGTCAGGCCATTCTCTTCAGACATTAACGAGGCATTTTTGCACAGAGAACTGCTGCTCGCTGGATATTTCCTCTTTTTCGGACCATTCTCTGTAAACCCTAAAGATGCTTGTGTGGGAAAATCCTAGCAGGTCATTAGACCAGCACCAACAATAATCACCATAATTGCTGTAATGAAATGGTTCTTTCCTTTTGAGGCTCCCTTTGAACTCTAGCAGGTTATCTTGACTATATCTACATGCCTAAATTGTTTGACTTGATGTCCACTTACTGGCTTTCTAATGAAGTGGCCAGAGAGTGTCAGCGTATAAAGCAAAAGCATATAATTCTTTTCCTTTATTTATTTTTTCATCACCTCACTAGTTATTTCATTTATTATTCATGTCTCTCATGACTTATCCATGGACTGAGTCGATATTGAATATTTTATTTATTGCATGTTGGCAGCTTTACTTGTAATTTGGTCACACATGGTCGTCCACAGAGGCCGCAATCTATCATAAAGGCGATGTTAAGGGTAGCCAAAAACCTGCTCCTAATGAAATGATGGGTAAATTAAATGAGGCGGCTTTAACCTCCTTTAAATCGCGCGCTGTGATTAAATTTCCCCGGTGGGCTTTTACTGAGAGCATACAAATCGATAAGGTAAAGTAATTCTTGCCTCCGGTGCAACTGCTTTGCTTCGCTCGGCTTCTCTTATGTCGACGAAATTGCCCTTTAACGCCTCCACCAATCAGAATCGTCCAAGCAGATGCGTTTTAGAATTGAGAGCTGTGCTCGTCCAATCAGCGCCCAGCTTTCTCTGCCAGCCTGCGCTCGTATCGTCTGCTCCCCTATCTCTCTCTCTCGCTCTCTGTGTGAATGTTAGATACAGCTCGACTTCTCACGAAGTTAGGAAATGGTGTAGACACCACGGCGGTGACCTTCGCCCATAGATGAGAGTAAACACCGATGTGTGTGTGTTGAGAAGGTGGGGGGAGACAGAGCAGCTGTCTGCTTCTGGCTTAAGGTCCATGTGTGTGTTTCTTCTTCGTATTTCGGCTGGTGAGTGAACACCATTTTTTCTTCTTTTTCACGGTTAAGACATTTCCAGCTAGGATAGCTATCTAAATGGAACCGAATTAGCCCATCCATACCAGGTGCAGGCGGTGAAAACGCGCCGTGACAGTCTGGCTGTCGTTTATGGAGAGCCGTAGGTGTCCCGTGTGTGTGTGTGTGTGAACGCCAGCGGGGCACTGACTCACTCACCTGGCGGATTTTTTGCCTTCCTGCTTCGGGGTGCAGGGAGACCAGATGTTTGTGGCTGCTGGGCCTGCGCTCTGCTGCCGTGCAGTAATCCTATTTATACAAGCACGCGCACTGCAGTGACAGCGGTGACCTGTTTCAAATACACCCACCAGCAGCCAGCTGGGCCAACTTATTTTTGTGCAACTCGGCAAAAATAAATAAATAACGAGAGAGAGCCTCAATTCAGGATGAAGCAGCTGCAACTCAGCATAAGCCTTTGAGACCGTCATTTCACATTTGTTGACACCGAGAGGAAACAATGCAGCACAGAGTAGGAGGGCACATCCTTACAAACTAAATGTGGAGCAAAGGGTATGTTTTTGTGTGACAGTAAGGACTATTTCCTTACTAAAGCTAGGGTTAACGTGGCATTTTATATGGCAGGATAAATGTCTTCCAGATATAGGACGGATATACAGTGATTTAGTAGACTTTGTACACTTCTTCCTTGTTTAATGACAGTAAAACTGTTGTTTCAGCTGCTTTTCTGTCAGCTAATCATTTTGGGTTTCAGAAGGGATGTACCCATAGATCCGCTCATTAGTTTTAGAGCCACATGTTTCCTGTGAGAGACACTCATTGGACACTTTATTGGGTACATCTTTCTAGTATTGGGTTGGATCCCTGTTTGGTTTAAAACTGTCTTGATTTTTCATAGCACAGATTCCATGAAACATTCCTCAGAGATTTTGGTCATTATTGACATGATTTTTGGCTGCACGTCCATGATGCAAATCTCCTGTTCCCTTGCAAAGGTGCTCTACTGCACTGAGATCTGGTGACTGTGGAGCACATACGGGTACAGTGAAATTATTGTCATGTCAGGAAACCAGAAAGTGTTGCTTTCTGTTGGAAATAGCCATCAAAAGCAAAGAGCGCAGTGCAGTCATAAAGAGATAGGCATGGTCAGCAGTAATACTCAAGGTAGGCTGTGGTGCTTAAATGATGGTTAGTTGGTAACAAAATATCTCCGACATTATTACACCAGCATCAGCCTGAACTGTCAATACAAGGCACGATGGGTGCTTTCATGAACATGCTTTTATATTGCTTACAACAGATTCTGACCCTACCGTCACAGCAAGCAAGTGACAGTTGTCCAGTTTTCGTGAGCCTGTGTGCACTTTAGCCTCAGTTTACTGTTCTTAGTCTACAGGAGTGGCACCCAGTACGGTCTTCTGCTGCTGTAACCCATCTGCTTCCCAGTTCACGTGTTTTGCTTTCAGAGATGCTCTATTGCATACTGGTTATTCTCTCATCTGACCTCTGGTATCCACAAGGCGTTTTCTCACAGAGAACTGTCCCTCACTGGGTATTTGCTCTTTTATTTTTGGACCCTTCACTGTAAACACTGGAGATGACTGTGTGCAAAAACAGCCCCGTAGATCAGCAGTTTCTGAAATACTCAGATCAGCCTGTCTGGGAACAACATCCAACTGAGTCACTGCCATGTGTTTGGATGATTAGATATTCGTGTTAACAAGCAGTTGAACAGGTGTGCCTAACAAAGTGTGTGGTGAGAGTGTGTTCACAGTTGTAAACCAGAAGCATTGTGTGTGTAAGAACAGGTGAGCGGGGCTAAAAATTCAAACACCGTTAATAAATGAGGAATAAAACAAATATAGAGACCTGAGGTGAGCATTCACTTCACTGAGGAAAGCCTGTCATTACGGTATAGAGTATAAATAAAGTAAACATAAAAACGAATGAACATGGATATTCAGTGGTGAGAACTGCAAACTGAAACTTTAAAACATAACTGTCAAGATTTTTATCTTTGGCAGGAAGTCAGTTTATATATTTGTTTGGAGGTTTCGTGACAGTCTTCTGCTCAAAGGTTTCAAAGGTGTTGCTTTCTTGCAACCCACCTGAACTGCAGATTCTGCAGATGGACTGTGATCACGGTTCATTCCTCTTATTATTTTAGGTGTGTTTGTGAAAAGACAGTTTTCAGATATGTTGTGTTTGCAGAAACCAATTTAACCATTCTTTCTAAACACATGCTTACCCATGCAGAAAGGTTTGCCTGAGTTTTCAGATATTTGTTATTACTTCCACTGAAGTGCAGTAAAGGAGAACTGACTTTTGTTTGTGGTTTACTAAGCATTAAAAAATATACAAATTAAGTGTTCCTAGTGTTTTGCTCCCTCTAAAAATAAAATATCCAGTAGATTTTCAGCACTTCAGGTGCCATCAAATAATCAGAAACTAATGTGTCTCATTCGAGAGGATTTCCTTCCCTTCTCTGTTTCAACTGAATCTGTATGTAAAACAAAAACTATCCATACATGTCTGTTTAACTGGCAATGGGAGGACTAAAACACTGGAGTGTTTAAATTGGAAAATATGCTTCTTTTTCTGTAACATGTCTGATCCAGGCTTTTAAATCTGTTGAGGAAAAAGGGGCGAAAAAAAGCATCAAGACTCAGTACTTTGCCCTAATTCTCTGCAGGCTCCAAGTGGCTTAATCTCTGCATCAAATTAAATTAGAATTACATGTAAAAATCGTTCGGGTGCTACTAGACTTAGGATAGTTTAAGACAGCACCAAACCATCACAGCCCAACCCCAATGTCCTCGTTTACAGCTGTTTTTACTTTTAGTTTTGCCAGAGAGAACATTTTTTCAGGCGGTTTCATCCAACCCACAGAGGGTACTGCTCCCCCACATGCCATCCAGATGTTCGGGATCCCTCCACACCCAGACAGAACAAGCAAGATGCCAAAATGCCCCTGAGAAATGGAGGAATATTTCAGATACACTTTTGCAAGATGCTGCAGTTTCAGTTGCATTAATTCAAGCATTTACTTAAGTAAGTAGTGGCTCGGTGCTTTATACATGCTTTGCTGTTTTAGAGTGCCAGTAAGAGGAATTAAACACCGACTTGTGAAACTCCTCGTATGCACATTGCAGAAGATAAATGGGGAAGTTGCAGGATGTCTGAATTGGTCAATAGTAATGTGAGCTTTAACAAATTGATTTGCGTTTCAGCGTGGCAGAAACTGTCAGTGAGAATAAAAGCATGAGGGAGCTGTAATTAGTGGCTTCAGAAACATTGCCTGAGAGTGTGTCTGCGTTGCGTGCCGCAGTGAACTTTGATATGGCTTTAGCAGTCGGCGGCTCCCCGGAGGAGTGATGCAAAATAGATGCTTTGAGGAGAAAAACTGGATGCATTTCAG